GCGAACTCGTTTAAGAATAGTTATGGGTCATTGTGTTTCTTTTTGAAAACTGTCTATTCAGTTAATTTGCCCATTTATTGACTGGGAAAAAATGTTTTATTCCTCTAGTATTTAATTTCTCTAATTCGTTGTAAACTCTGCATGTTAGCGTCTTGTCTGCAGTCTGTCTGGTAAGGGCTTTCCCAGCTCCGTGGGCTGTGCACTCTGATGTTTCCTTAGCTCTACAGAAACTTTTTGTTCTCATGTGTTCATTTTGTTTTGCCTGCACATATGTATGTGGATTACATGTGAGTCTAGTGACCTTGGAGGTCAGGAGAGGGCCTTGGGTGTCCTGGGAATGGAGTTCTAGACAGTTGTGAGCCACCATGTAAGTGCTGGGAACTGAACCCTGGTCCTCTGGAAGAGCAACACGTGCTCTTACTCACCGAGCTATCTCTCCAGCCCGAATCAGTGTGTTTTGAAATGGCTGAATGTTCCGCATGTTTCCAGGGATGTGCGGGATTCTGAAGTCAACCCGGATGGATTGTTACTTTCCTTCTTTGTTCTAGGAAAGTCCAACATGGGCGGCTCCCCCAAGCCAGCAGTTGACAACATCAGAAATATCCTGGGCATCAGTTGGAACAGAAACGACTACCTGGGTGAGGCTCTGCCCAATCCGGGCCCTATAGGCAGGGAATAGGAGTGAGATCCTTGGTCGCAGGGCTCAATGTGACCTAGCTCTGGCCCTGAGCCACGAGGGTTCCCCATAGCACTGCATGATTGTATCTGAGTACCACCTCGAAAAGCTGGGTACCGAACTGGCATGGTCCCTGTTGTGGTTCCATCTCCAGAGGGCTGTGGCTGTGGGCCGCTTCTTCCTCTGTGAGAAGGTCTGCAGTGAGCCTGCTTCACAGGAAGGTAGGGGCGGATGCTTAGGGAAATGTGAGCTGGTGCAGAGGGCCGCTCAGTACTGTCCACCGCTGCCGCCGCCACGTCATCATCACCTAACATTTCAGGAAACTGCAGGAAGAACCGGCCTGGTAGGGGCTGTCCCTCTGCTGTCCCTTCAGCAGTAGGCAGCTAGGTGAGGTGTTGACAGGCAAAGCTGCTGAAGGAACACATAATTCTTCAGGGTTAGGGTGACCGAAAACAATTAAAACATTTTTTCTTGGTTTGTTTCTGAGACTAGGTCTTGCTATGATTAAAGATTATGTAGAGGCCCGGTGGCCGCAGGGTTCTGAGCTTGTAGCCACAAAACCCCAATCTTCACCTCTGCGGTCACCCCAATTTTTGTTTAGTTTCTACAGTGTCCGGCTAGCTATGTTTGGGTTCAGATTTCTTATGTATTTATTGCAGTGTCTCCCAGCTGAGCACTCTGCCACTGAGCCATTACCCCAGGCCTCTGCTTACTTTTTTTTTTTTTTGGTTTTTCGAGACAGGGTTTCTCTGTGTAGCCCTGACTGTCCTGGAACTCACTCTGTAGACCAGGCTAGCCTCGAACTCAGAAATTCGCCTGCCTCTGCCTCCCAAGTGCTGGGATTAAAGGCGTGCGCCACCACCGCCCGGCCTGCTTACTTTTATTATAAACATTTTTTTTATCTATGTGTATGTGTGTGTCTGCATGCGTGCCTTTGGGGGCTAGAGGAGGATATCACCTCCCCTGGAGCTGGTTACAGGCAATGGGTGCTAGAGACTGAACTCTGGTCCTCTGGAAGGGCAGCAAGCACCCTTGACCACCAAACATTCTTTCTAGCCCTCTTTTGTTTTATTTTTGGGATGGGCCCAGGCTGGCCTCCAACTCACTGGGTAGCCTAGGCCGATCTTCCTGACTGACTCCACTTTCTGAGTGCTAGTAATTAATACAAGGCAAGAGACCCTGGTGGCAAATGCCTCTAACTTCACCACTTGGGAGGCAGAGGCAGGCAGATCTCTGTGAGTTCGAGGCCAGCCTGGTCTACAGAGTAAGTTCCAAGACAGCCAGGGCTACACAGAGACACTGTCTCCAAAAGAAAAACAAAAAGATCTTACTTCTTCTTCTTCTTCTTTTTCTTTTTTTTTTTTTTTTTTTTTCGAGACAGGGTTTCTCTGTGTAGCCCTGGCTGTCCTGGAACTCACTCTGTAGACCAGGCTAGCCTTGAACTCTCAAACTCAGAAATCTGCCTGCCTCTGCCTCCCAAGTCCTGGGATTAAAGGCGTGCGGCGCCACCACCTGGCTAAGACCTTACTTCTAATTCAGGTCACATTCACAATAGAATAGAACTTGAACACATTCTTCTGAGAACACACAGTTCTACCCGCTGTAGGCAATACACAAGGTAAACAAGGCAGCCCTGTAGCATTCAAGTGGTGACATGATGTGAAGCCAGGTGTGGATGGAATAAGAGGGTCTGGGGCATTAGAAGACCTTGCTGAGGAAGACCTGTGTGGGCATCTGGGGGAGAGCACTCCAGCCAGAGGTGCAGCTGGAGCAGAGGCCTGAGGAGGGAATGTACCCCGGGGTTTGAGGAACTTCTAGGAGGCTGTGGGGGGCTGGGCGGCGGTAGGAGAGGAAGCAAGACTGGGTGAGGGAGATGGGGACCATCTAACTCCGGCCTTTGTCGGCTTGCTGAGTACAAGTACCTGCCTCATGTCTTGGGTAGCCTCTCAGTCACGGGCTCTGGTGATTTCCCTCCTCCCCACCAGACATCTATGCAATTGGGGTGGGCAAGCTGGATGTGGATTGGAAAGAACTGAATGAGCTTGGGTCCAAGAAGGACGGCGAGAGGCACGCCTTCATCCTGCAGGATGCAAAGGCCGTGCAACAGGTCTTTGAGCACATGCTGGGTGAGTAAACCCTGTCCTCCCTGCAGAAGAGAGCATAGTGGGGACTCAGATGGGGGCTCATGGTGGCAGCCTGGACCAGTGGCCCTCACCCACTTCCTTCTCCATCTGGTCTTTGCCATAGATGTCTCTAAGCTCACAGATACCATCTGTGGGGTGGGGAACATGTCTGCCAATGCCTCTAACCAGGAGAGGACACCTTGGCAAGTCACCTTTAAGGTATCAGGAAGAAGGGGCAGGGCTTGGACCACAGAGGTAAAAGCAGCCAGGCACAGCAAACCCGGATTATTGTCTCTTCCCTGCAGCCGAAAAACAAGGAGACTTGCCAGGGGTCACTCATCTCTGACCAGTGGGTGCTGACAGCAGCTCACTGCTTCCATGACACTCAGATGGAGGATAGCCACCTGTGGAGGGTCAGTGTGGGTACGTCAGGGGCTGCAGGAGATCCCTCACCACAAGGCCAGAGTCACCACTGTCTCTCCTCAGCCTCTGGTCCAGTCTAATCCACTGTTGTTTCCAGGGGATCCCACTTCTCAGCATGGCAAAGAATTCCTTGTGGAGAAGGTGTTAATTCCCCCAGGGTTTAATGTCCATGCAAAACAGAACCAGAACATCTCAGAGTTCTACGGTGACGACATCGCTTTGATGAAGCTGTCTCAGAAAGTGAAAATGTCTACCCATGCCAGGTGCCTGAACCCAGTCCGGAGGGTACCCTATAGAGGACCGTGCTCTGGAAAGCACCAGACAGGATACTGACGATGGGCCTGTCTGACACTCGCCTTTCTCCCCAGGCCCATCTGCCTTCCTTGCACTGTGGGAGCCAACATGGCTCTGCGGAGATCCCCAGGTAGTACCTGCAAAGACCATGGTGAGTGCTGGAGGCTTAAGGTTCTTGGTAGGTTGCAGCCAGAGCTTGTGGGTACCAGTGGGGACCGGGCTGCAGTCCTCAAGCTGGATACATCAGCTCTGGGTAAAGGAATCTATCTTAACACCCTCTTCTCCCCATTGGCAGAGACAGAACTTCTGTCACAGCAGAAAGTTCCTGCACATTTTGTAGCTTTGAACGGGAACAGACTGAACATCAGCCTCAAGACAGGACCCGAGGTGAGAGCTCAGCAAGGGATGCTGGGATACTCTGGGGGCAGCTCCCAGAATGGCCAGCCCTCCCTGGAGTCTCCTCAATTCTCAGACCTTACTGGTCTAATGTCTCCTGGCATGTCCCCATTCTTCTCTTCTATGTCCCACACTGCAGTGGACGAGCTGTATCAAGGCGGTCTCCCAAAACAAACACATCTTCCCCAGCTTGACAAACATTAGCGAGGTGGTGACAGACCAGTTCCTGTGCAGCGGGATGGAGGAGGATGCTAATCCTTGTAAAGGTTAGTCCCATCCTGGACTCCCAGGGAGAAGGCTATGGTGTCCTTGTGGTTAGCAAACACTCTGAATACTAGTGTGCTGTCCTGGACAATACTGTCTTTTCTTTCCCTGCAGGAGAATCTGGAGGAGTGGTTTTCCTTGAGCGGAGATACAGGTCTTTCCAGGTGAGAAGCAGACTCTGGAGTGGAGCTCCCTGTCAGGGTACAAGTCCCTTTTGCTTAGGGGAGGTGGGAAGCCTTTGAGAGGAACCAGAGAGGTTGAGGGTTGGAGTGGGGCTGCCACTATCTCAGTCCTGTTGACTCTTCCCTCCAGGTGGGCCTGGTGAGTTGGGGTCTTTACGACCCTTGTCAAGGTTTCTCCAACAAAAACCTGCGCAGGAAACCCCCACACGGTGTTCAGCCGAGGGACTTCCACATAAATCTCTTCCGCCTACAGCCCTGGCTGAGGCAGCACCTGGATGGTGTCCTGAACTTTTTGCCCCTTTAGCATGGTCACTGACTCTCTCATCTGTCCTTCCTGTCTACTACCTCTGAGTGTTCTCGCTCCTGGGTCCATAAATCCTGGGCCTAGGAACCCAGAGACAGTGGCAAAAGCTAGGGAATCCCCGGGGTTGTGCCAGGACCACTGTGCTACCCATGAAGCAAGTCTCTCTCTAGCGTGGCTGACCTGTGCTCCTTTCGCTTTCACATGGAATTTCCAAGTTATGAAATTAATAAAAATCGGTGATTTCCACATCCTGTCTGTCTTCTGTTTTTGGGGGTGGGGAGGCCGGGAAGATTCCAGGAAGGTCAGAGACCCTGCTGCACAAACAGTGGCTGGACTCTGCCCCACCACACAGTCCATGGAAAAACTGGTCTCTAAGTGGGGGGTAGTGTTGGTGGTGGTCTGGGCTTGTTAGGAGGGTTGGGGGGCTAATAGGGAGCTCGGAAAGGGAAGTTCTGGCCCTTGGTCAGCAAAGGGTGGGGCTCAGATAGTATCTGTTTCCCCAGTTGGCAGCTCAGCAGGGGCCCTCCTTCATCAATGTTCCGGGAAGCAGCGTCTATGCAGGGTAGGCTGGCCAGGCTGCAGGTGCCAGAGCAGATTGCATAAAAGGTTAGGGGCTAAGGGAAAAGGGGTGTAGCCAGACCCAGCATTGGAGTTTCAGTTTGGACAGCAAGTCAAGTAAGCACCCAGAGTGAACTGGAGAGGGCTTTTGGCCGCTGGCCTCTCTCGTGCTTTCCATGACAATGGACAGTCCCCAGCTCTGCCTAGTCCTCTTGGTCATAGGCCTCTCCTCTGGAGGTAAGCAAAGGACACCCCATCCTCTTTTTGTCCCCAACTTCTGTCTTTGGCCTTCTGGGGCCAGGCTTCACCAGCCTTTCTCCTCAGGTGTGAGCACAACTCCAGTGCTTGAGGCTCGGCCCCAGGTCTCCTGCTCTCTGGAGGGAGTGGAGATCAAAGGTGGCTCCTTTCAGCTTCTCCAAGATGGTCAGGCCCTGGAGTACCTATGTCCCTCTGGCTTCTACCCATATCCTGTGCAGACTCGAACCTGCAGATCCACAGGCTCCTGGAGCGTCCTGCAGACCCGGGACGGAAAGAGTGTCAAGAAGGCAGAATGTAGAGGTTGGAGGCTTGGGAATGTGGACAGTGGGTGGCTGGGCAGACCAGGTGGAGGCTGTCCAGTACTTGGTGAGAGGAGAGCTGTGGGACTGGCAGTCTGACCTGTAGGCTGGCTGAGCATGGGCACAAGTCTGGGGGTGCGTGTGGGAAGGCTTTGCTCAGGCAGTGAAAATGATACCTGGAAACTGGGAAAGGGTGTCTAGAAACGTACTTCAGTTGGTAGAGTGTTTGCCTCCCGTGCACAAGGCGGTACTGCGTGAAGCAGGCGTGGTGAGTGCCTGCAATCCTAGCACGCAGGACATAGAGGCAGGAGGGGAATCTCAAGCACCTTCAGCTTCACAGCCACTTTGAAGCCAGCCTGGGCTACATGAGACCTTGCCTCAGAACAAAACAAAATAATCCCACAAGAAGAGGGGACAGTAGGGTTGAGGGGACTGGGCAGGTACTGTTTCTCAGTGACAGGATTTCTAAGACCAGGAAGGACTTAGAAACAGCACTCGGTGACTTTTATCTGTCTTCCTTAAAGCAATACGCTGCCCACGACCACAGGACTTTGAAAATGGGGAGTTCTGGCCCCGGTCCCCCTTCTACAACCTGAGTGACCAGATTTCTTTTCAATGCTATGATGGTTATGTTCTCCGGGGCTCTGCTAATCGCACCTGCCAAGAGAATGGCCGGTGGGATGGGCAGACAGCAATCTGTGATGATGGAGGTGAGAACCAGGTCACCCCTGACTTTACCCTCTGCTGGACGGCTTCACCTTGGGAATGCATGGACACTCACATTGTCTTCATGTCTCTGCAGCGGGATACTGTCCCAACCCGGGTATTCCTATTGGGACAAGGAAGGTGGGTAGCCAATACCGCCTTGAAGACACTGTTACTTACCACTGCAGTCGGGGACTTGTCCTGCGTGGCTCCCAGCAGCGAAGGTGCCAAGAAGGTGGCTCATGGAGTGGGACAGAGCCTTCCTGCCAAGGTGATCCTTGACCTGCTCCCTGAGTCAGCTCTTGCCCTGTTGGCTCCATGTCAAGAGTCTCTCGTCCTGAAATCCCATCACCCTGTCAGTGTGTCCTCCGTACTCCAGATATCTGACCTACTGTCTGGCCATCCCTAGATTCCTTCATGTATGACAGCCCTCAAGAGGTGGCTGAAGCATTCCTATCCTCCCTGACAGAGACCATCGAAGGAGCTGATGCCGAGGATGGGCACAGCCCAGGTTTGAATGCAAGGAAGGGCCGGGCAGTGGTGGTGCACGCCTTTAATCCCAGCACTTGGGAGGCAGAGGCAGGCGGATTTCTGAGTTCGAAGCCAGCCTGGTCCACAGAGTGAGTTCCAGGACAGCCAGGGCTACACAGAGAAACCCTGTCTCGAAAAATGAACAAACAAACAAACAAACAAACAAAGAAAAAGAAAGGAAAAATAAAAAAAAAAGAATGCAAGGAAGGAGGCTGAGCAGGAGGCCCAGGGAAGGATGGGTGGTCTGTCAGGTACTGTACATGCCAGAAACTGAGTCTCTGTCGGCACCTAGGGGAACAGCAGAAGAGGAAGATTGTCCTGGACCCCTCAGGCTCCATGAATATCTACCTGGTGCTGGATGGATCCGACAGCATCGGGGCCAGCAACTTCACAGGGGCCAAGCGGTGTCTTGCCAACTTGATTGAGAAGGTAGATCAGAGTGTTCCTCCCTTTGAAATGAGGGGACCTTATCTGTACCTCACTGCCCTTACAAGATGGTTTCTCGTGTCCCCAGATCCTCTGGGTCCAGGTCCTGATGTTCTCTGGGCTCCGCTCTGTCTCAATAGGAGTGTTGACTACCCATCACACTGTTCTTTTAACACAATGGCCTCTTGCTCATGCACAGGTGGCAAGTTATGGGGTGAGGCCAAGATACGGTCTAGTGACATATGCCACAGTCCCCAAAGTCTTGGTCAGAGTGTCTGATCCGAGGAGTAGTGATGCTGACTGGGTTACAGAGAAGCTCAACCAAATCAGCTATGAAGGTCAGAGGTCAGGGAAGGGAAAGTGGGAGGTGCACCTTGGGGCTGTGGTGGTCAGAGGCTCGGAGTTCTTCTGGAGAAAGTAGATAGACTACTATTGGTTAGAGATTGAACAAAAGTGTCCTTGGGTAATGGAGACTGCTGGGAGAGCCAAGGGCAAGTGGGTGATAACCCAAAAGTTAAACATTGTCTGGACTTGGTGGCACAAGCCTTTAATCACAACATCCAAAAAGCAAGCGGATCATTGTGAGTTCAAGACCTGAATGCTCTATATAGTAAAAGTTAAAGAATGTGGGACCTCAGTTGTCATAGACTTCTGAGGTGTAATTGTGGCTTGGAAGATAAGGTCAGTGACCTTTTATTTGTAGACCACAAGCTGAAGTCAGGGACCAACACCAAGAAGGCTCTCCAGGCTGTGTACAGCATGATGAGCTGGGCAGGGGAGGCCCCGCCTGAAGGCTGGAATCGAACCCGCCATGTCATCATCATTATGACTGATGGTGAGGCCTTTCTCCTACCCCAGCATCCTCCCATGTGCTTGTGTCTCCAGCGTGTTTTCCTTGACGCACTTTCACGGGCCTCGTTTCCCACAGGCTTGTACAACATGGGTGGAGACCCTGTCACAGTCATTGAGGAC